ATGTACCATCCGCAGTGCACCATCTTTCTTCCTCACAAACTTTGTCCTATGAGACCAAGGTGACTCCGATCTCCCAATAATGCCAGCCTTCTCCATCTCCGGAATATGCGCATCAAGCCAATCTCGCTCTTCTCTTGTATAAATTTTGTCTCTCGCTCGTCGGGGCCGGGCATCTGGGTATACAGGAATTCAATGCTCAACCAGGTCGGTCACTGGCATATCCTTTAATTGATGCACAAACATGTCCTTCCAAGTGTACAATAGACATGCCGCCTGCTCTCTTTCCGCCAGGGTCAAGCTATCTCCAAGCTTAATTTCTGACTCCCTAAACCACGTGGGAATCCCGGTTGCTGACTCTTCTAACTCTCGATGAAAGTGGACAGGACGACGTAGTGTAGGAAAGCCCAATATATGGCCAAAGGCCCGCTCCTCTGCTGTCTCTTCTTGTGGAAAGACAACATCCATCCCCCCTTCGATCCGCCCCCGATCGTATTCCTCTGGAACACCTGGTGGCTCCCCCTCTTCCCCTAGCCGTCTCTTTCCATAATTCTCCGCTGTCCCATTATCCTGCTCCTTCATAGTCCCTCCTCTTATTAACTCCCGAGCATTCACCATCTGTGAATCCCATCCACTGTCTCTCCAACAGCCCACTTCACCGCAACAGTAAACCTCTTCATCACCAAACAATTCAACGTCACATCTCTCAGTACTATCATCTAAAACACATGACTCCTGAGTATCAACATCACGTTCCTTGTCCACTGTATCCTTCATAACATTCCCATCATCAAAACCAACATCACTTTCCTCACATGTTTTCTCTCTGCTATTCACATTCAAGTCATTAAGATCCGACTCACTTAGCCTGCTCACTTCTTCCATCGCATCTTTCCCACCAGACAACCGACTTGACATATCATCTGGCGACACTAGTTTTCCGACTTATCAGACAACTCTTCTTCTTCCTCTTCCTCTTCATGCTTAATCTGCTCCTTCGCTTGCTTCTTTATTAATTTTACCAAATCCTCAAAAAAATGACTGCCACCTGATCATTGCCACTCCAGCTCCTCTTCAATCTCTGCTGATACCTCTTTCCTCTCGTCTTCCCTGTTTCTCATGACAACCGGAATACGAGGACGACGTAGCTGATGCTCTTGCTGGGTACTTCGGTCTCTTGGAATTCTGACTTGAGTCCCGTGATGATGTGTGATATAGTAGTGACCGCTTGCATAGTCGCCTTTTGCCTTTACAGCCTGCAGCCATCGTCTGCTGAGAAGGAGGGGGTACGTCGGTTTGTATTCGTCCGGAAGAGCATAAACCCGTAGATCGCATGAAACGTCCGCAATTGTAATCCGTACATCAGCACAGTAGGCTATCTTCGCTAGTGCATTCGTTGCCGTCCGGATCACCATCCCTCCTGATTTGCGAAGTCTTGCTCCCATGAAACGTAAAAGGTGAATCGGCATCAAATTCACAACGGAACCCGCATCAACCAAAATTCTCGAAACACGATAGCTGCCACCATCGGCATGGAGCGTCCCTTTAATATAAAAGTTAATGACATCTCCTAAGTCCCGATCCGTTGCTACTGTCAAGACTTCCTCATCTTCAGCAGCACTGCCGATGCCCACATCAAACGTCACTTTCTTGCCGCGTCCTTTGCTTTTCCCTTTGCCCTTTCCCAGGATCTTTGCTCGCTCCTGAACCAGAAGATGGCAAATGTCCCGCTTCACTGCTGGTGCCAAGTCAAAAAAAGAACCCCAATTGAGGCCTGTGACAGGAGCATCTCTAAAGGCACCGACGAAATCAAACTTCTCGCGGCCTGCCATCATACGAATTGGCTTGCGTGACACCTTCGCTGCTCGTGGCTTAGCCTGCTGCCTGCTGGAAGTAATCTCAACAACTTCCTCATCTTCTTCCTGCGTTCGACGTCGTTGTGTTGCGGGTCCTGTCTCTCCTTCAAACTCAGGCGGGAGTTCACTGAACCGACGAGCTCTTTCTCCTGCCATGACTGGTACTCCTCTCTTATCAGCTAGCTCAACATCATCAGATTCACTACTATCCGTCCTGCTAGCAAGATCATCACCGTCATCAATTTCTTCGATCCGGCGAACGAATGCCCTCAAATCAGCCTTGTCTTCTACCGCTGCCGTAGTCACTTCTCGAACCTTCATACCATTAAGTGCAGACGACCTTGAAACGATCTCGACGAGACTGACGGGCTTATTTTGTGGCTGCACTAGAGGCTTCCCATGGGCCTTGACTAGGGTGTCTGGGTGGTCTGGTCCAAGAATATCTGTCCTAGGTAAAGCAGACTGAAGTTGTGGGCATTGTGGTCGTAGATGACCTTCCTCCTGACAGTGATAGCAGATGCGTGGACGGGACGGGTAATAAAGTACTCCATTGGGGCCGACAATAGGTTGTGAATTGACTGGATTTTCGGACAGACGCGGGCCAGGGTAGCGATTGCGAGGTGGGAGATCAGCCGGTGTAAAACGTGTCACTTCTGGAGGCCTTCGGGAAAAATCGTCAAAGTATGAGCGCGTAGGGGGAGCCATGCTTTCCCTTTCTGGATAATTGCTCCTGTAGGACATCGGATAAGGTGCCGGTAGTCTCGGGGGATAGGTTACCGGTGGCTGTACTTGACTGCGTCGATTCGGGTATTGGGTATGATGTGATGTAGGGTAGGACACAGTTTGACGTTCGTAACCTGGCCTGCCGTATTTTCCTCCGACTGCATAAGCATCTAATGGAATGACATCTTCCTCTGTACGATCAGCCGCAGCTCCCCTGCTTGGAGCACTAGTCGTCTTTTGCATTTGCAGCAAATCCCGCATCATTTCACGCAACTCATGCACTTCTCCTCTGACCTTTGCCTCATCGCTTTGACCCTTACGGTTCTTCCTCTCCTTTTCCTTCACCTTCTTGTCCTTCCTCTTACCAGACTCCTTCTTCAGCTCCTGTCTCTTTATCCTTCGCTTCCGGCGGCTATATCTTTCATAGCCATCAGAGTCGGTATTGGAGTCCGAATCACTCGCGGATGTCTGAGCATCCTCAGAGTCATCATCATTGTCATCATCATCATCATCATCACTGTATCGGTTCTCAGACTTGCGGTAACCCTTGATCTTCAGTTGAGAGGCCAGCCGCATGACACCGTTGACGACTTGGAATGGAGTCTCCAGGGAGTCTCGTTTGCGAAAACTTAAGATGGCTAGCTCCCGTAGACGTCGGCTTGTCAGTCCGTCGAGGTAGTAACTAATGAGAATTCTGTCGTAATGTCGGAGGCTGCTTGGCTTTCGTTGGAGGAGCTTAAGTACTTTGCGCGAGTATTTGAAAACGTCCTGACTCCCTTGACGTAGTGTGCTCATCGTCGTCAAGATATCTTCGTCCGCTTGATACTCCCGGTCAGCATCATGGAATTGGTCAATCAGAGCCTCTTTCAACAGCTCTTCCTCCCAGAAAACACCCTTATCCAAAGTGCTAATAAACCGGCCAGCAGCCGAGCGAATTGGGCAGGCAACATGGAGCTGAGCCACTCTCATCGTCTTTGACTTAGCAGTACTACCATCAAACTCATCGCCCATGGTTGCGAACCACGACTCCATCCATCTCAAGAAATCTTTCACCTTGGTGCCGTCTTCGCCGGTGAACTTCATCCCCATCTCATATGGCAGGCTCATGACTTTACTTGCTCGGTTTGTCACCCGTGACATGGACTGATCTAGAGGCGGTCGATGTCCAGACTTGCTGCCTCGCCTGCCTTCAAGCTCCAACTCTACTTGCAGTTCTTCAGTCGGGATTGAATACCACTCTCCTCCTCGAGTGAAGTATAAAGTATCTATGTCGTCAAGCTTGTCTGCCTCCGGCAATGTTTGTCTCAGCCGTTGTAGGAGCTCGGAGGTGACCGTGACAGGCGTTGTCTCAACTTGGTCCGCAATCTTGATATCCGATGGGCACCGATTAACCAGCTAATAGCAAACTTGCGGTAAAGATAGGGGGGGGCAAGTCGTCAAGCTTCTCAACACCAATCCGTTTCAGAGCACCAGTTTGTCGGTCCTCCCTCTCTCGGGGATCCGTTATTGGATGGTGTGTTGCGCGTGCCGTACCCCGCCTTTACCGTGAAGAAGATCCGTCGTTATTACTGACCGTAAGCCGGTGGAGAGTTGACCCGATCGTGACTTAACTATTGCTCTCACTAAGGGATATCGAAAAGCAGAAAGACCAAGACCAATAAAGAGGAACGAGAGGACCGAGGTCTATGTCACAATTATCGTGTGTGGCTCGCTCATCTAATTGGTGGTTGTCGATGTCGTGCTGTACATGAAAAAAGTGCAGAAAAATATGCAAAAAAAGCTAGCTAGAACATGATGATTTGTGGGTGTGCAACCCTCCTCCCGACTGCTAAAAATGCCCTATCGGGCTGCCCTATGCTACAACGGTACTCCCTATCGTGCTAGGATTCTTGGCAGAGGTGCAGCGGGAAGGCGGGCCCGGCGATGGTTGGATGGTTGGCCAGCGTCTGCGTTCCCTTGATCACGCCTGCGTAGCTTTCCTCCCTACAGACCCCGGCAGTGCGACGACCGCTGTTACCCTATCGGGGGGGACAAATTGCACTCGTTGGACGCCTTACCATAATACCGGCATTATGTCCTCGTAGCGGTATGATACAGTCCTCGTACAGTACGGCACAAGTGTCCAGACTATCATGGACGGGCGCGATCTGTCGTTGCAGGGCACGATTTGTGTGGAGTGTGATGGGAGATGGAAGCTTTCCCGTGCGCCAGCTCTGCCGCAGTATTTTTGCTATCATAGCCTACCGTAACTCAATATGGCATTGTATTGTATAATACGAGTACTCGTACAGCACTCCACCGGCACAGTGTTCGATCCTCCCCCAACCAATTCGTCACCCATTTTTCCTCGCCACACACGCTGCCGCCTCTCCCCTCCCGCGAGTTGGGGACTCACAGGCCAATAGGTTACGGTTTGCACTGTAGTAACGGACGCACGCCGCCCATCCCGATTCCACTTTTTGGTGGAGAAATTCCGGCCGTCACTCCATCGCCCCCTTCTGGAGCCTGTAACTTGCTTATTCCGTGTGACCTTTCTGGCGTTTTTGAGGCTTTAGCGACTCTCGCAGTTACAGTTCAAGCCCCGGTCCCTACCGGGCGCCTGTCATCCCGCCCACTCAGGGAGGAGAGAGTGTGTTGCACTTTTTCCCTCATCCCTCGAAAAGCTTTCCCCCTTCCTGCTTGCTGCTCGCTGCTCGCTGCGGCCTGTCTTGAGGCATCTCGTCTCCTCCCTGCCCTCCTTCGCCCGGGAAACTTGCTCCGGCTTCGCACGCCCGCCAGCCAGCCAGCAATCCGTCGGGACAGACGGACGGACAGATATTGTGGCGCCGTCGAGACAGGAAAGACGGTCTACGAGCGAGAAACTCCTCTCCTTTCCCTTCTCCCTCTCCCTCTCCCTCTCCCTCGTCCCCTTCCCCTTCCCCTTCTCTCATTCGATCGCTAGTTCCAACTATTCCCTCCTTTCCTTCTAAATCCCCAACCACTTTCCCACAGTGCTCCTACCGGCCTCGCACCAAACTTTTCACACCGCCATTGCTACCCAATCCTCCTCGGTGTGGCTGTCGGCCGGCCAGTCGGTCCTTGATCCCTCTCTCCGGTCCCTTCCGCTGCCGCAGCCTCATTCTTCCTCTCGCTCATAACCTTTGTAAAGGTTTTCCCTTTTCTTCCTTTCCATTCTATTCTCGCCCTCTCTTCCATCTTGACATTGTTTCCCTTCTTCCCGCAAAAAGGAAGGGTCAATCCTTGCATCAACCAGATTATCGCTCCGCTTCGAATCCTTCTCGTCCCGAGCATAAAGAAGAGTACCCGTACACTTCACTCCCACAGACTCTCTACCTTCAATCCCCCCCCCCCCCGCTCTCTATTTTACATATCTTCCCTCCACCCTATTCTTGACCTTCCCCATTTTGCCCTTTGCTCCTGTTTCCGGACTGCTGAGCCATCTTTCTGGCTCGTTCTAATCCCTTTCGAGCCATATTTCATTCAAAGCCGCCAAGCTGGCTGAGTGAGTTTTCCGCGATAAAAATCTGGCTCTCGTAGCTATCCACCATGTCGCTAAGTCCCTTCGATCTCTCCCGCAGATATCTCTATCTGGTCCATGCCAACGGGCCGCATGGGCCCCCCTTCTCGGGACCCCCTTCGAAGCCTCCCCTCCGCTCTATAACAACAACTGGCCATAAACTCTCGCCCATATCTATAGCCTCCCCGCCGGCGTTTTCGACGATGACCGCCGACCGCCCGAATCTGTGCAAATCCCCTAGCGAGAACACCCTACGGGTCCCTGTTACGGATGGAACATCAAGTGGCAGATCAACACCCGGCGAGAATGGGAGCACGGATCTCAACATGGAGGTAGCCGCTCTCAGTAATAAGCTCATCAGCGCGATCAATCATCAGACCCAATTGGACGACTCACTCTCGCAAACAAGGCATGAATTGGAGATTTCCCGTGCGAGAGTCAAGCAATTGGAAGCGGTGGCCAAGGAAAACGCTGAGATGCTGGCTAAGGGGCTGCTGGTCAAGAAGTCTGACGTCGAGGCCGAAACAAAGCGGCTCAAAGATCGCTTAATCGAGGAGAGCAGGTTGAGGGTCAAGGCTGAAGAGGACAAGAGGGCCATAGAACGGGAATTGGAAGGATTAACGGCTGCTTTATTTGGTGAAGCCAATGAGGTAAGCTGCTGCTTTTTAGGCATATTTCTTACCAGTTTCGGGCCCAATTTCTCACAGCTGACGGAATTAGATGGTCTCTGTAGCGCGTCAAAAGGAAGAGGCTGTCGATAAGAAAAATGAGCAGCTAAGATCTCAATTGGCTGATACACAGCTCCTCTTGGCTTCTCACCAGGAGCAGCTCGCCGAATTAAAGCAGGTAATCCAGCAAATGACAGCGGAGAAGGAGGAAGCAGAGACCGCTATGTCTACCGGGACACCCTCAACTCCAGCACTTGGAAATAGGACGAGCAAAGAATCATTAAGTCGTGTTTTTGAGGTCTTGCACTTGTCTCCCGACTCGGCCACCATCGAGGACATACAGCCGTGCCCGCCTACATCTCTGACAAGCTTGATATATCCTGTCCTTAGGCATGACGTCACAGCCTACCTTGATTTCTGTGAGGTTTTGCATTCTCCGAAAGGGAGTGCTAGGACTTCGCCAATACCCCGGCTGTCGAGTGGCTCCTTCTCATCTATACAGGCTATGGGTATAGGAATGGGTATTTCTTACGGTTCCTCATCGGCCAGTAATTCCCCCACTGGGCTCTCTAGCGCCCTTTTTGGCTCTAGGGCGGACAAGAGTAATGATAGTCATCCGACAAGTCCGGCGAGTGTCGGCTCCGCCACCAATGGCAACGCTCAACAGCAGATTGGACTTGCTTTGAAGGAAACTAGATTCTTTAAACGAGTTTTGGTTGAAGATGTGGAGCCTACCCTCCGGGTAGATTTGGCACCTGGCCTTTCCTGGCTGGCTCGTCGGAATGTGTCATCAGCAATCATTGATGGCTCCTTACAAATCGATCCCCTGCCTGCCAATTCGAAATCCAGTACTGTCAGCTGTTCCATGTGCGGCGAGAGCCGGTTGGGCGAGCAGCATATCAGGACTCATCAGATGCGCACGAGCGATAGTACAACTGCCCTGAGACACATGCTATGCACCTACTGTGTCAACCGCACAAGGAGCGTTTGTGACTTTCTGGCATTTCTAAGAACCCTCAAGGAGGGCATGTGGAAGTGCGACAGTGAAGGTGATGAGAAGCATGCGTGGGAAGAATGCATCAAGCTGAGGGAGCGTATGTTTTGGTGCAGAATCGGGGGCGGCGTCATACCCGCCTTCATCCACAGGGAGTCGGCAAGAAATTCTGAGGAACATGGCAGAGCTGGCGGCTTGAGGCCTCTCGGTGACGAGACCCCACGTGATCTGCAACCCCCCAGGACACCAGAACCAAGAGGACACGAGGGTCAGGTGAAATTGGAGGTTCCCAAGAAGAGAATAAGCAAGGAATTGCCACCGATTGTCCCTGAGAAGGCTTCAGCCAGTGAAGCTCCATCACCGATTGCTCCTTCGCCGATTGACAAGGAGCTTCCCGCACCTCCTAGAATCTCCCTCGAGAAGGACATAGAACAAGTGGGCACCACGAATGAGGAGACAATTGTTGAGAAGCAAGAACCGGCACAGGAAAAGAACGGTCCTAAAGTTGGCACAGCCTCGGAGCATTCAGCGTCTTCAGTCTCCATAGGACCTACGGAACCCGAAACGCTGACTAGCCCGGTCTCCAAAACACTTGAACCGCCTGTGACCGCTTCTCCTCAAAAGGAGCTCGCTGTTCCCACCGTCCTAGACAAACCAGATACAGAGGCCCCCCGAGCGGTTCCAGGGGCTTGGTAGTAATGCTCCCAGACATTGATTATACTAGAGAGATTTTATACGAAAGATTACGGTTTGCTGAGACTAGATTTTTACCCGGGAGCGGGGCTATGGGCAAATGTTTATGTTGGGTTACTGCAATGGGAAAGGGCAAATTTCGTTGGGGCCGAGTATTACTTTAATATTTTATTTCTTTAATACTCCACTTCTTTCCGTCGGTTAGCTAAATTTTTCTCAGTTGGCCCCCTTCCCTTCTGATATATAGTTTATTATTACAGTTCTGTCGTCTAACTATGCTTGTTGCTCTGGAGTTCTTTCGTCCCCCCCCACTCTGCCTGTTTCCATTTTGTTCCGTTTTCTACTGTTTTGCATTTACAAAGGTTTCACGGTGTACCATGTCTTTTTCATTTTTCGTATCTTTTTCTTTTCCCTTCCTCTTCAGCCGCTTTACTTTCCGTTTTTTGCTTTCACTCTTGTTGCTTCGAGATTATCATATGTTACGGGACACGAGGAAAGATAGGGAAAAGAGAAGAAACTGGAATCAAGGGTTATTCCTCCTTCATTTTTGGCCGTAACGGGTTCTCATATCGTAAAAAGCAATACTCCTCTATATTGTGCCGAGTTTGGTTTTATCTGGTTAGTTCATGCAAAGCCGAGCTGAGCTGTGCTCGCGCTCTTCAGGATATTGGTACCTTTTGTAAGAGGTTTTCGAGTGATTTGTCGTGCGTCTGATGTTCTGGTGAGAGGGGAATTGTTCAGCTTAATTTTTTTCCCCACACCACTTCTCCAGCCTCGATCCGATTCCAGTAGTATACAATAATTCGCTCAATCCCACTTATGTCTCCCTCCTCCTCCTCCTCCGCTGCATCTCAAGAACCACAGGAGCAGCGCGCATTCTCGCGAACTCCTTCATGGCGACTGAGTCCGTTTCCGTGCGGATCGCTGTTCCGATCGACATGAAGAAACTGGTTTCGCCATCGGTTAATCAACCTATGCTCCATTGGGGCAGGTGTCAAACCCAAATGTAGCGGCAGAGCCGAGCATATACTGTCCCAGCGAACGAATGAACCCGTTCGGACCTGGGCCGTGCTTCAAGAGGTTATATCCTCCTGGTTTGTGAATTAGTTGCGCTGTTGCGGGGGAAGGAGGAAGGGGAAAGGGGTGGGGGAGCACCGAAGATGAAGCCGATGCAGAGTCCCACAGCTGCCGGCACTTGTTAGCATCGATGCGGAGAGAGGGCAAGGGGTGGAGAAGGCACACAGGGTCCCCAGTTATAGCCCCGAGTTTCACTGAAATTTTGTTAGCGAATTGAATATATGGTGCGGGGGGGGGGGGGGGGGAGCGGAGGGATACTCTTGTCGAAGAGAGTAGGGCCATGGGAGCCATGGTCTCCATACGCAGATACTGGTGGGGGCATGTTTGTGGTAGTGATGATGATGATGGTGAGGCGCGGTAGGTTGTGTGGCGGGATGGGAGATGTGGTGGCTATGGCAGCTTTGCAGTGCCGTGCTGTAGACTAGGAGCACTGGCACCGGTGATAGCCGACCGATTGATTGTGATACGGGTAAGATATGATATGATACCGGTAACTCGTGATTTGCCGGTGCGCCAGGGGACAAGGCAAGGGATTCCAGGATGGTGAAAGAGCGAACTGGTTCCGGATATGGGTATGATACGATTTAATAATAGTATAATATTCTCCATTTTTTTTCTTTATTCACCAGGCTCCTCGACAGAAATCATCCCAAGCATCATATCATACCTTGCATTGACCAAGGGCAAGTTTGAAGGAGCAATAAAGAGAACCAGATGCCATAAGACAAGATCACGTGACCTTTCATATGTCTTTGTTGGACTACATAGTCTACCCTTGTCCATCACTCCCCTCCCGACTCCCCAAAGACATCCGCAGTAACACATCCTGGACAGTCAGATCTCCGAACCGCTAACAACCACAACATCATCAACAACGACAAACAAAATGCAAGCTCCGATCCAGTCTTCCCGAGCCCAGAGCTTCGAGGAGCTTTACGGCCCCCCGGAAAACTTCCTGGAGATAGAGGTTCGTTCTCTCTCTTCTTTTGTCTTCCGGGATGTTCCGGTGTCTTGGTGTTGCCGGATGAGGATGGGATGGGGCTGACGATGGTGTCTTGTGCGGTACGCTTCCACTATAGGTCAAGAATCCCCAGACTCATGGGTTTGGGAGGAAGATGTACACGGATTATGAGGTTGTTTGTCGTGTATGTTCTCTTTTTACCCCTTCATCTCTTTCTTGTGAGTGAGTGAATGACTGACTCCCTTGTTGCTTCTATAGACCAACATTCCCGCATTCAAGGTATACCCTCGGATTCTCTTCCCTACTGCCCGTTTTTTGTTTTTATTTTCGTGAAATTGGAGAACTAAATGGATTTCTAGCTCAAAGCCTCCAGCGTCCGGCGTAGATACAGCGACTTTGAATACTTCCGCGACATACTAGAGCGGGAGTCCTCGCGCGTCACCATCCCCCCCTTGCCCGGGAAAGTCTTCACAAACAGATTCTCAGACGACGTCATTGAGCACCGCCGCGAAGGGCTGCAGAGGTTCCTGCAGATTGTCGTTGGCCACCCACTGCTCCAGACCGGGAGTAAAGTTTTGGCGTCGTTTGTTCAAGGTGGGCTTTCGTTTTGTTTACTTGTCCGCGGGATCGATTGATTGAGTGAGGAAGCTGATGGTTCGCACTTGTAGACCCGAATTGGGACCGTACGAGCTGGTCGATTTAACGGGCACCAAGGGTACTGTGTGTGGTGGGGGGGGGGGGCGTTTGTGCTTGGCTTTTATGGGTGGGAAATACTGGATGGACGGGGTCTCTTCTCTCAATTTTCGCTCTCTACCTTTTGCTTGAAATGGGATTGGACCGGTCTGGGCTGAAAAGCCCCTGCTGAATGGAACCTTACTCAATGGAGGGGAATGGATCCGGAGTGGGTTGTCACCTTTTGCCTTTTTTCTTTTTTTACTTTCATATCCAATTTTTTTGTGCTTTCGCGATTACCCAACCAATAGCTTACGCACAGTACTGTACAGTACTTGCTTGCCTCTTCATTGTTTCTATTATGTGAATGCTAGTATACGAACACGACATTTCTACCCATTTCCACGAAGAAGGCATTGACGAAATCACCTCCCCCTCACCTCTCCCCTCTCAAAAACCTCCACACCCCCTCCATCCCCGACGAAATACAAGACTTCCTTCCCTCCATCAACGTCCCCCTCCTCCGCCCCGCCGGTGGTAATGCGCAACACCCCACTAACATCCCTCGCAACGCCCGTCTCCAGCCCGCGTAACCCGAACACCCTCCGCGCTACATGTCCGAGCCCGATAACAAACGCGGCATGTTCCTCATCACGCATGAGCGCCTCGTCAACGTTGACGGACACGATTGTGTGCTCCGACATCTACACCAACCCGGCAAGTCGGGTAAGTTAGGCGGTGAGGAAGCAGGTAGTAGGAAGCAGGCCGGGGCATAACCACCTCCAGTACACGGAGCACCAAATCCATAACCCCAGAATAACTCCCGCCACCAGTCTGCAGCAGGATATCCGGACTCTCAATCACGACAAGTAATCCCCGCCCATCCCCGGCGGCCCGCGCAGACTCGACAGCTCCCAGCACAACATCCGACACCGCCCCGCCCCCCATCAGCGGCAAATCCGCGATCCCCAGGAAGGTGTATTTCCCGCTGCGATCCAAGTGCTGGAGTGGTACTCCCTATTCATTCAACCACTCATTCATTCACCCTCCGGTTAGCAGTGGAGCAAGCGGAGGGAGGGGAAGGGGAGGAAAGTAGCCAGCACCAATTTCCGCAACCCATCGCTGTGAAATGCCCGCTCATGCGTCAGCGATAGCAAAAGAATCGGCGCGTTGGGGTCGTCGTCAATGTGCCTTGTCAGAAGACTGTGCGTGAGCCAGGTGCTCGGGCTCGAGAGGAGGGATGTCAGGAGTGTTAAGGTGTGGGTGCGGTTCGGACGGGTGAGGTAGGGGGTTAGTACGCTTGCGGATGGCATTTTTTATTATTATTATTGCTATTATTATTATTATTATTGTTTAATTAGTCTTGTCTTTGGTGGGGGGTCTTTGGTAATGCAGTGTGTTGATGGTGGCGGTGGTTGGTGGTTGGTGGTGGTGGTGGTGGTGGTGGTAGAGGGGTGGTGTGTGTAACGTCCGGTGTACTGTACTACTAGTAAATTTACCGCACAGCATCATACTCAAGTACTCGTAGTGGGGGCGTGAAATTTTTTTTCAATGCCCTCGTTTTGGTTTGATGTATCATCATACTGTATATAATTTACGGGCACAAGCACCATACCAGACTCGAGTATTTCGTGATGGTATCATACATATCATAATTATCATAATATCATAGCGTACGGTATAATACTCGTATGATATAATATCATATTATCATACAATAACTTGGTCCGTTCAGGGAAATGGGATTCCGGGAAGTGGGGTTAGGGTGTAAGTTAGTGGGTTATTACTATGATAATATTATCATACCTATGATATTCCAATGTATGGTACGGTACCGTATATACCGTGGGCTGCAGTAGGGATTGAAAAAGCGTGAATTGCAATGTGGTCTACCTGTCGTTTCATTCACTCGTTCGTTCTACCCGTAAGGGGATTGACTAGCGTGACTTGCTTTTCGTAGTTATCGCAATCCAGTACTCGGGTAGACATCATTAGCACCATCATCATCATCCGCAATTCGTGCAATCGCACTGTACCAATCGTTTCCTTTTTTTTTACCCCCCCCCCCTCTCAAGAGTAGCGGAAGAAGAAGAGGAGGAGGAGGAGGAGGAAAGGGAACAAAGACCAGTCAGGGAATTTAATGTGGACCGCGGATCGAGTCCCACGTACGGTATGAATTTTTTTTGTTTTATACAATGTAATGTAATGTAATGGAGGTAATAACAGAAATAAAAAAAAAGAACACCATTTCCCAATTCGCCGCTCCCACCTACCGCAGATAGACCAAAGTAAAGTGACATAAAAAAGAAGACGAAGAAAGGAAGGAAGAAGAAAAGCGGGAAGAAAGTAGAGGAAAGTAATGAAACCCAAACATGATATGACTATCCGAGCAAGGCAAAAAGAGTCAAGGATAAGTGTGAAGAGTAGAAAGCAAGAGGCATACACCAAGGATGGACGGTAGGTGGAGGAAAGAACGAGAGAGAAAGCAAAAAAAGAAGTATGATGGTAATAAGAAGGGGGGGGAAAGAGACGAGAGAATGGAGGGGGGGGGGGAGGTCGTGTTAATTGTACATCCGATTTTAACTATTATTTTTTTTCTTTTTTTCTTTTTTTTTTTTTTTTAATTAATTTCTTGAAAAGGTCAGCATCTCACATCGCAATGATATCCTTTATCTTTAAACTCGATGATGCTACTACAGCAACTCATCGGCGATACGGCGCTTTTTGTGTATCGTCTCGGGATTGGCCTCCTCGCTGAGCCTCTTCACGCTCGTCTTGTCATGACCAGAGTTCTCCGTGGTGGTGGAGGGACCAGTGTTGCTGCCAATGCTGATACCCGAGAGGCTCACGGGCTCTTTGCTTCCCATTTCAGGCTGTGGGTGAGGGGCGGTGGAATTGCCGGTTATGGAGGGGTCGATGTCGAAGATTGGATTGTTGGCCATGTCCTCCCAGCGAACCATATCGTGGGATGCCTCTTGTCCATTACCCTGTGCTGGCTCTTTCCCGCTCCCCTGGGCAACGGCGAGGAATTCCTCCGTGATTTGCTCGAGGGTGGTGCCCGAGAAGCCTTCGTTCAGAGCAGGATCCAGGGCAAGGCTTCCGGGTGCGGGCGATTGGTCGGAGGAGGTAACGGGTGTGTCCCCTGTTCCCCAACCGGGAGAGAGGTGGCCTGCGAGAAGACTCTGCATGAGAAGTGATGCGCTATCGCCTTTATTCGGCCCCTCCAATCCTGTTCCACGGCGATCCTCCAACTCTCCATTGGCTTCGATTGCATCGGGGGCCTTGCCCTTGCCATTGGAACTCGAACGAGGCGGTTTAGGGCGCTGTCTGGGCCGAGCTTTAAACCCAGCTGATTCGTAGCGATCCGGGAAAGCATTGCGAAATCTAGACCAATTAACAACACATCAACAAAGGCAAATCTTGATAGTATATACCTATCACGAAGATCCGTGCCTCGACGGTGGCTCAGTTGAAGGTCGGGATCACTCTGGATCTTGGACCATGCCGCCCCGTGCTGTATAGGTTAGCTTTGATCGTATATAGTTTCGGGCGGTCGGACCGTTGGATGGGTTGCGTGGTACCTCCCGGGAAGAAGTATAAAAGCGCAATACATACAATATTGAAACCATGAAGGAGACGGGCGTCTTCCTCAGCGGTGAACTCTCTCCTCTCGCGACGTTGAACCTTAGGGAAACTATTAGGGACACCGAGTTTTTCGAGGACCTCGACGTGGTGGAGCTCGGTTTTTGTGGTCTTCTTCCTGCCCTTTTCGCCCTCAACCTTAGGGGTCTTGGGCGGTAGGGGGGCAAGGACGATGGTATCACCCTCGGGCGCAGGACCGGGTACTGGCTCGGCGTCTTCTTCGGACTCGAGATCGTTGGGCTTTCTGTATTCCTTGGGGAAACACGTGCGAAACCTGTTCGTCTCATGGTTAGAAAGGAAGGAAGAAAGAGGCCCAAATGCAAGAAGCCGGGAGTTTCAGCAACGAACCTGTCCTTCAAATCCACAGACGAGCGCCCATTGAAATGAAATCTTGGATCCTCAAGAACCTTTTTCCAATTCCCCACGCCATGCTAGAACAAGGACAACAGAGATCAATAACACCGCTGTGCATGAATTCGACGGACAGCATAGACTTACTGTGTGACACCCCTTGATGAGGTCATTCGTCTCCTCCTCCGTCCATTTCCGACGGACCCGGCGATTAGATGATTTTTCGCCGGGGGTGGAATTTTTGTTTCCAGCCCCACTTTTAGGGGTGCGAACTTCGGATGGTGGCATGGCTGATGGAAGCAGCGTAGGGTATGAGCGACCGCCCGGAGTGGTGATCTGGTCTTGGCGGTCGCTGTTAGATTTTGCCTTATCCTTCGATTTTTCCTTCTCCTTGGGAGTCGGTGTAGATTTCGTGGCGATCATTCGGACGTCTATCGAGTTTTGAACGGGCTCCGCTTGTGTCTCCTGACGCGAAGGGTCATTGGGTGACTCCCGGGAATGGAGTTGAAGATGCGGTGGTTGCTGCTGCTGTTGCTGTTGCTGCTGCGGGGGTTGTTGCGCCTGTGGCTGTGATTGCTGCTGATTAGGTTCCCTACGTCCCTGTTGATATTGCGAGGAGCTATAAGCGTCTTGGGAAGCGGACGGCTCGAGAGGGAGAGGGCGATCCCTGGGCTGGGTGTCAGATCCTAGGGGAAACGGAGGGACATCGCGGATTGGAGGCAGATTAAGAGCAGCCAAAAGGTGCCTGGTCATATCCATGATGACCGGAGTGGAGGTGGTGGAAGCGACGAATTGAGTGCTGGCGGAATGTGCTGTGCGGAGCGAGGAAACGAGTGGAGGGACAGCGAGGAAAATGGTGCAGTGATGGTGGTGGTGTTAAATCTAGAGATTGTGGGGGTGTAGGAGGGAGGGCAGTGGTGCTTGTCCGTAATGGTCCAAGAAAGAAGAGGGTTGTCCGGCTGCCTGACTAAGCGATGGGGGAGCTAGTGTAGAGTACGGGCAGGTACAAGTACTGTTACAGTATAGTACGGTGCAACCAGCAAAAAGTTTCGGTTGCGGGACAAGGTGGATAGGGATGAAGAGCGGCACCCTACACCGGGTTTGCTGTAACCGACGGTCAAGGCAAGGGGGGGGGAGCGAGTGTGGAGGCGAAGAGTTGGCAGTTGGAGGGTAGATGTTGGCAGATAGCTATCGCCCGTGGTCCATCGGTATCGCAGCGGGTAACCTATGATATCAGCGGTATATTATGATAAGAAGTGTCTCTGCCATCGCAATATGGCGAGCTGTGAATTTCGACGGCCAGCACGGCGTCCAAACTAGGAATGGTATTGCGAGCATATATACAACGTGCCCTCCCTCTCGACGACTCTTTCGCCCACAAGGCGCACAACATCTCCTGTTAACTTAATGCCGCACCGCTGTAAGCCATTTCTCCCCGGGCAGGGCAAGCCACTTTGCCTCCAGCCGCTACGATAAGATGTGATACGATGTTCGAGCATTCCCAGCACCCGAGATTCGAACGGCCTTCCGCGAACACAAAGAAACCCCAGCCTTTGCGTTGCTAACCTCGCGGTGGTGGACATTCAGCTGGGCCAGGCCGTATATCCCTCCACGAAACCGGGTCATTTTGCCATCATTCGCGGCTGGTCACCTTGTCGAGATACTGTGATGGGCTCCGAGCATGATATATTTACGAGTGGATTTAGGGTATGCCCCACATCCTGTGTATCATACCGGCATTCGAATGCGGATCTCCCGCACCCGCGCCAGCGCAGGGTATGATATGATGCGATATCATACGGTATGGTATGCGGTGTAGGGTTCATGGGACGCAAGTAACCCTTCACTCCACCCCATCTCGCCCATAGAACCCCACAACCCCCATAGCCATAACGACACCCCGTACAGATCCCATCCCAGAATGTACACGCTTCCCCCTCTCTTCTACCTGATCTATGCTGTCATGGAACCCATCTCCATGTAAGTTACGTGTCATACCGGTGCCCGAGCAGCCAAACCCCTGAACAGCCCCCCTTTTGACACTCGTTTGAGAAGACGCTGCTGATACGAGGGACCCTCAGGCTTTCAGGCTTCCTGTACATAATCATGTCTCCGGAAGCCTTCCTCGCCGAACAGATGCCTCTAACCCCCGAACAGACGGCCACCCTCACCCCAAATGCCAAGGCCAGTCTCCTGCAACTGGCGAATTGCTACTTGCTGCTCTCAATGTGCTCCACCGCCGTTCTCAGGAGCGCTGGGGAAGAATGCGTGGTTAGAAGGTTCCTCTTTGCGTTGCTGCTCGGGGATATTGGGCATGTGTTCGTGCCCTCCTCCGCTGCTCCTGCCCTGGGCCAGTAAGGCTGACGCGTCGTTCTCGGAGGCTCACGGCAGCTACTTCACCTATGTCGCTGTCGGCGCCGACTACTTCTTCAGCCCCTCTGAATGGAATCTTCTCACCCATGGAAACCTCACTTTCACCGTAAGAGCCGGCCCCCGATCCCCCCGCTCCCGACAGGTCTGACGGATGCTCCAAGATATTCCTATTCCTCTCGCGCTGCGTATACCTGCTCGGCTGGGGTGGCGGAAACGCGCGGTCCCAGGGGACCATCAAAGCAAAGAGCAACTGACAAGGAGCATCGCATCCGGAGCCCCCGTAGTGTACGAGTACAAGTAGGCTACTCCTAAAGATAGCCGGCCCGACAGCGGCATACCAATGGCATGAAGACAATCTGAGACTGTCGTTTTATCTTGAATCACGTGATGCTGATGCCATGGTGTCTCGCATGTGGCCGAGCGGGGCGGGACGGCGGACGCTTGGCGGGGCACTTGGATCCGAACTGCGAAGCCTTCCAGTGCCCATGCAGTTCCTACTGTACAGTAAATTTACCCGTACCCCTGCCGGTATTGCACGAGTATAATACCGTACCCTAAACCTGAGTAAGGCCTACCCTTGGGATAAAGAATCGCTCAAAGTATGATATGATATGATAGCTTGAGCGGCACACGTATCGTTAGCTGTAATACGGGGTACTGTACCAGTGCCCTCGGTATTGTATTGGGGGAGCCCTTTTTCCCGTTTCTTTTACGCAAGGCTACAGTGCTATTGTATACCGTACCGTACCCGAGCACGGAGTACCGGTAAAGTGCAGTACCAATTCTCGTACTAGTACATGTACGGTAGAGGGCCGGGGCCGTGCATATCCCATCGCTGTCGTTGCGCAATGTCTTGGACCTGCTTGTCGGCTTGACGCCCCACCCCCAGTGCTCGGCTCACCCTATGATGTGAACAGCCCTAACGCGGCGGGCCGAACAACTTGCCGTCATGCTCTGATCGCCGAATCGTTCCCCCGTTCCCCCCTTTCTCCCTCTTGCGGCACTGGCGCTGGCACAACATGTCGGGGAAGGGGGAGAGAAAACACCCCCAACCCGGCTACCGGTACTTGGGCCTAGCCATGCTGTGAGATCTCTCGGAACCTGCTATCGGATCATCGGCCGAAATCGCCGCATCGGGCCACGGCAGGCTTAGTCTGACAGGTAATCCCGGCGGGATCGTGGATACCGGTTAATGAGACCCAGCACGTCCAGAGATCTTGCTCACACTCCCAGGTTGTCTCTCCTCCCCCCCCCCCCCATTGAAGTGATCCATGGCACCTGGAATCACCCTGGCCTTAACCTGACGAAGGGTCTGGGCTATCGGTAACATGAGGACCATTATCAGTCTGTGATAATGCGTGCTGAATAAAGCTGTAGACGGTCCTTGAGCGGGAGTGAACTTTCAATCACTGTAACTTGGCCACCAAAAGCTGGAGCCCGGTCCTCCCCACCCCTAATAACTGGAGAGGAGAGGATAAACCTATAAGGTTTCCCCAAACCGACCGTCATTGTTGAAACTAAATCTACAGCCCATGCAGACTTGGCCCAATGGAGGACTTTTCCCGTATCGTATGGGTCTCGAAGGGTCTGGGATCTGGGACAAAAATCTGGATCGTAACTTGGACTATTCCCATGGAAACAGGATGATTCTCCAAATCTCTAGATTATGATCGTTCTGGGTGAATGAAATTGCGCACATGAAGGCTAGGTCGATCAATCCGTGCGGGAGACGACTTTTCATGGGATGGCACCCAGCAGCAGCAGCTAGCCAGTTCTCCATTCTGTGTATACCATGCTGCATAAGTTGGTGTGATATTACGATATTGAGAAAATAGGTCAAGGTCCAATGTGTCGAGCACTGCGGCCTCGGGGCCGGTTGGCCAATCGCACGCGAGCTTATAACCTGCCAGATTCCTACAGTGCGGCAAGTCCTCCAATGTCAGAGGCTGAGGCACCCATCCATCCATCCATCCATTATTTCTTCCTCACGTGGACAAGCTACGGTGCGGCGCCTGGGCTATCACGCCGCAGCTGGAATTATCGAAACCTAGGTATCGATCCCGTACTAACTTAGTATCATACTCTACAGTACTGTAGAATGGCGCACCCCCCCGCCGGCGATCCCCCCACAGGCATACTAGTACCATAGGGGTATTAGTAACCGTACAAGTACCTTGATTGCAGCATCAAATACAGTATCAGCCAAGTTCGGCCCACGGTCCCCTTTTTCCTGCCCTATGTAGGAATCAGAAGGCGGCCGGTGCCCGGCCCCCAAGGATAGGTTACAGAGTTGGCGCCCGGGCAGTTGGGGTCGGGGTTCGGTGGTGGGGGCGGGCTGGCGTGTGCCCCACCGTGCCGTATTACTTGTACAGTATGATATGCCATGCATTGATAGGCGTGACATGGCATCGTGGGAGGGGAGGGAAGATGGGGTTAGGCTTTTCTTTTTTCTCTGGAGTGGAAGTGATGTTTGGATTGGAAATGGGGTCGGCGAGGGGGTCGTTCTAGGCTCATCTTCCAGGGATTCAAGTTTCTGCTTGCAGTAACCCATCACCAATGGACAGAAGGGGAATGGGGGGCTACATGCTGTACTGTAGTCTCGACCAACTGTTGTCAAGGGGCCCGAGGCGTTGAGAACCCGGCTTACGATCATTTCCAAATCCACTCCCCTCCCCTGGGGGATGGAGGCGGCTGATCTGATGGCCCGAGGGTGGGCCAGCGGGATCCCACGAATCCCACACCCCTGAGCCAACCGAAGGGGTCCCCGTACGGTACCTGGTACTTGTACACTGTACCTCTATGATAGGAGCTTCTACGATACCGATATTGGGGTCTGAACGCTGCCAGTCTGGTGCCGCTGTTGGTGTTTTGACGGTCCGCGCGGTGCATCTGACCCCCCCCTGGCATGGACCGTCAAACGACGTATAACAGGACGGCCCTCTATCCCCGTGCCTGTTCAGCACGGGGGGGGGTCTCATGAGGTCATTGGCAATTATTGCCCCGAGGTTGGATGGATGTCTTTTGTCTGGTCCCCGTGCACCGGTGCGCAAAATATCTCCCGCGATCCAAATTTATGGTTGGGCTACCGGTATTGTGCCGGTATCTCTAGGTTTATCGTGCCTTTTATCCTCCCCCGCTCCGAGTCGCCCTTACCGCAAGAAGGAGCCCGGCTCTGGGACCCGGGACCTTGGGCACAGTCCATTAGGGAGGTTTGCAGGGTCCGATTTTTCCCTGCTGCTTGTACAATGAGGTTTACCAAGTTATAACGAAGCGTCGTTGAAGTGGAGCCACTCATAAGGTAGTGGGCGCCCGGCTTGCCTACGGTAATCCCGCACTGCGATGGCAAGGGTGATTAGGCTCGCGGCACATTGTTTGCCTTGTTTGCCCTTCCTCGTAGGTGCGCTCGAACAACAACGGGCTATCATATCACGATGCGTTATGGTGAATGGTGATGGGCTGAGAAAGATCATACTTTTTGCTATAATATCATTTCCCTTATCATACCTTATTCCGGATCTTCTTTCGTCCGGTGGAATGATTAGGGTTAGGGTGTGAGAAGCGTCAAAAGTCCGACGGGAACATGTGCGACTCTGCACGACCCATCTTGGTTTGGGACGTAATTGTGCAGCGAAAAGGAAGGAAGCCTTGCTTCCATCATCATAATACCCGACTCTGTTCCCGAAAAGGGAAAAAAAGAGAGAAAACCCTAACCCCTTATCCCTGCGGATCTAATTCCTTCCAAAAAGTCCGGTAATAAGTTGACCGTCGAATGACTACAACTCCACCATCATTACTTCTCTCGCACCTTCTTCCACCTGTCCCTGTTCTCGTCCGTCATTAAACCGCTCATCTGTGTCATTTCGCACTTTTCAGGGCTTCGCCTCCAACCCCTCAAAGCGTTGCGCTAGCAGACAAACACCCTTCCAAACTACCGAACCATCACCCCCCCCAACAACCGTCCCAACCGTTTAGCTCCTTCCTAGCCTTCTGGGGTCTTGGAGCTTGGCTCCCCCTCCTCCGTTGCCATCTTAAAGGCAGTGAAAATTCCTCCAAAAAGCGCCATATACTCAGTCGCAATGAGCACCATGTCACCAGACGAGCCTCTGCCCGGTGTTGCGCCAAAGGAGGTGGTGAACCGTCCGAGAAAGAATACAGCATTCGAGCAATTAGATCGCCCCGGCTCAGTTCGTGTGGGTGGAGTTCTGATCCGGGACTGCTCCACTGCTCACTGCTAATGGGGGAGTGTAGATTAATGTTGAAGGAGCTTTTATAGTGGACGATGATTCATCCACTCCCCCACGAAGCGGCTCTCCCCCACGCTATACTGGGCCCGGCGAAACCAAAGACATTCGCCTGCCACATCACAAGACCGGGGTATCGCACATTGCCGTTGATGTGAGGCCTATCGCTCCCGTCCGGTCCCTATTGGTCGCTGACATCGGTTCTCCCTAGATTGGTGGTTCATTGGCAAAATGCGTCTACTTCACTCAAGATCCAAATGGTGAGGGCGGAAAGCTGAGCTTCAAGAATTTCGAGACAGAGCATATCGACGACCTGATCGGCTTCATGGATAGTCTGGTCAATGGAAAGCGCTCGGGACAGGATGACTGTCCGGTGAGTAAGAAGGATCGTTTGCACATCATGGCTACCGGGGGAGGTGCATACAAATACTACGACAAGATCAAGGAGGCGCTGGGTGTTGAGATCTATAGAGAGGACGAGATGGAATGTTTGATAGTTGGTGAGAGCGCGCGCGACAGCCTTCACCCGGTTTCAGCGTTGAGTCTAACTCGTTTCGCAGGACTTGATTTCTTCATCACCGAGATTCCCGAGGAGGTTTTCACATACAGCGAAGAAGAGCCCACCCAATTTGCTGAACGGCGAGTGGACATCTATCCGTACTTGGTTTGTATTTTCAGCGCTTCTCGTGCAATCTTATGGGTTGGCTGCTAACGCTCCGCCCTGTAGCTGGTGAACATTGGCTCCGGCGTTAGCATGATCAAAGTTTCGGGCCCTCAGCAGTTTCAGAGGATCGGCGGATCATCAGTACGTATTTCCGTCCTTGTAGCTTGCGAGCATCGCTACCTTTGAGTCGCGCAACGGCTCACTCTTGCCAGCTCGGTGGAGGAACCCTGTGGGGCCTTCTGTCGCTTTTGACGTCGGCAAGATCGTTTGATGGTATCGCCCACCCAGTTTTGAGCCCGCCGGCACTATATGAGCTAACCTATGGTCGCGCAGAAATGTTGGGGATGGCTGAAAAGGGCGACAATGCCAAGGTTGACATGCTTGTAGGTGACATATATGGCGGCGGGTACGGCCGAATAGGCCTGAAATCTTCCACCATTGCCAGTAGTTTTGGTAAGGTTTTCAAGAAGCAGGTGGAATCGGGTTCGGATTATTGTCCGGAGTCTTCCACCGCCAACGGGGAGAGTAGAGGCTTCGAGCCCGAAGACATCAGTCGGAGTTTGCTGTACGCGGTCAGGTGGGTTACAGGATGACAACCGTCCGGCACGAGACATAGTTGACAATGCCCAGCAACAATATTGGACAAATTGCATACCTCCAGGCCCAGAACCATGGTCTTGAACACATCTACTTTGGCGGTTCCTTTATTCGGGGTACGCCTCCCGGCAGCTACGGTATATGGATTTTCCACTAACGCTCTCCAGGCCACAAACAAACCATGAACACCCTCTCCTACGCCATAAGATTCTGGTCCAAGGGCGAAAAGAAGGCCTACTTCCTCAGGCATGAAGGGTACCTGGGTTCCGTCGGCGCCTTTATTCGTCGACAGCCCAGGAACTGGGGCCGTCGGTATAGCGCCGGTGATGAACACCCGTACCTGAGCATCCGCTCCAACAACAGAGAAGTTTGAGCACGGGCACCGGTACAACTTCCTTTCTTGAGAAACAAATATATTATTTAGTTAGAGTTTTTTTCTTTTCTTTTCTTTTCTTTATCGGAATAATCCGTCGTTTGAATGGCGTTGGCATGCTTACTTAATCCTCTACTCGTACAATTTCTTTTTATTTCCTTCCTTCTTTCCTTTTTCTAAAATTCTCACTGAGTGCCCGAGTAGCGAGGTGAAATTACTCGTACAAGGACATGCATGATGGGCTACTCGAGCAGTGAATTGCCTACTACCTACCTGCCCACCATACTATCCTGATTCAACATATTGACTGCGCGTGTGCATGTACACGATTACTCGTATGCAGAAGGTTCGGGCTTGACCATAATATTATATCTACTCGTATGTCATGTTAAGATCGTGCGCACTCGCTGGGATGGCTACAATTCTTGATAACACAATATCGGCACAGCACGGTAACATACTTGGGATATAGGTACTGCAGGTGTGAATGGATGCGGAAAGGAACGAATAAATAAATAAATAACCAGTTCACCCCCCCATACTCCCCGGAAAGTATGGCTGAGTGGCCAACTTGGGACCTGAGCGATGGATGGATAAAGAACAGATAGGTACTTGTACCGGTACTGTACTCGAGTACGGGTTGTCGGGAAGGTCCCGGCGACAGCGAACAGGGTCAGCGTATGATAGCGGTAGCGACAGGAGCAAGGCTGTGACCCCTCTTTCCCACCTCTCCACAACATGCTCACCGAGAGGGGCGTTTTGGTGAGGGGTTCGCTTGAGGGGTTTGATGATTGGGTGGGTGAGTGACCTGACATGAAGATCGTTACCCTACTAGACAATTCTTTCGCCAAGCTGGGCCAAGCCAGACACACCGCGCACGCCAAGCCAGACCAGCTGGACCCTTGTTCGTCTTTTTCTTCTGCGTCGCGAGCGGACGAGCTACCACCGCGACCTTCACCCTCGTTCTTTCCTTCATCCGTTCGTTCCCCCCCTCCGCAATAACAACCACACCACCACCACCATGGAGTCCCCCGCCCCCGACTTCACCGACAGATACATCGCGCAGCTGCTAGAGAGAGATGCCGCGGAGCAGAGTTCGCGCTTCAGCAGGGTAAGCAGGGCGTGTGCGCCGAAGCCGAACACGAGATTTCTGCGGAACATTGTGCGGGAGGTGGACTCGCATAATGCTGCGTTGCTAGCGAGGGAGCAGAGACGGCGGTCCAGGTCTCGAAAGAGGGAGAGGGAGAGGGAGAGGGCGAGGGCGAGAGAAAAGGAGAGGGAGAGGGCTAGAAGGAAGAAGAGGGAGAGGGAGAGGGAGAGGGAAAGGTATAGGAGTAGGAGCAGGACTAGGAGTAGGAGCAGGACTAGGAGCCGGAGTAGGAGCAGGAGTAGGAGGAGGAGAAGAAGAAGGAGAGAGGAGGAGAGGGAGGATAGAGAGGATAGACACTCGAGCGCAAGGGTTCGGAGACACAGACATCGTCATCATCGTCGGCCCCGGTCTCATTCTCGTTCTCATTCTCGTTCTCGTTCCCGTTCTCGGTCCCGGTCTCCGTCTCCACATCGGCATCACCGCCACCGTTCTCACCACCGCCGGCGCCATCGCCGTCGCCGCAACAGCTCCTCTAGGACCAGACACATCTCATCCACCCCCGCCCCCGGCGAGAGCCGAGAAGAGCTGATAGGTCCCCAACCCCCGCCACCACCCGCTCGCGGCCGTGGTGGCACCACCACCACCGATGGACAAAACCCCATGGACGCACACTTCGCCTCCTCCTATGACCCAACGCAAGACTCTCTCTTCCACCCCCCCTCCAACCTCCCCTCCGATGATGAATGGGATACAGCACTTGAAGCCTACCGTGACCGGCAGAGATTGAAGAGCTTGCATGCGGAGCGGCTGAGGGTTGCGGGTTTTGGCGAGGAGATTATACGCACTTGGGAGAAGAGTAAGGCAGGAGGGGAGGAGGATATTGAGGGGATCAAGTGGGGGGTGAGGGGGGGCGTCAGGGAGTGGGATCGCGGGAAGGTTATAGAAGAGGATGGAGAGGTCCTTGTCAGGGCGGAGTGGGGGAGGGGGGGCATTAGGGAGTGGGATCGCGGGAAGGTCATAGAAGCCGATGGGGAGGTCCTTGTCACGGCGGAGTGGGCACACGAGCGGGGGAGGTCTTGATTTTGCTTGATTGGGTTTGGGTGGGATTGCATTTTCGGCGTTCTTTTTCTTGATTGATTGATTGATTGATTGTGCCCGGGCTATACAGGTTGGTTGGTTGGTTGGTTGGATGATGGAGGGATGGTATGTATTAGCTTGCTTTTTCTTTTTCCTGTGCCATCTCTTTTTTCTTTTCTTTTCTTTTCTTTTCTCTTCTCTTGATGTACTGTACGATGGTTATGAGTTTGTGGTTACGCCCTTCCCCTCTCATCACTCATCCAATCACTCCCTTCAGATCGGACGATACGCACATCATAGACTACGACTCGAGCATAGGCGCGTAATTACATATTATTATTATTATTATTATTATTATTACTATTATTGTCACTGTTACCTTTGCACCACCAACCAACCAACGAGCAGCGCCAATAGTCCACGTCGTGAGCCGATTTCTCCCGCTGCGGCTTCGGTATCGATACGAAACGCACAATACAGTTCTGCACAGTACAGCACGGTACGGTACAGCCCCGCCACAATCGTAGAGCCCCCATATGATACTTACCCTTCCACCAACGGCCTGTCCATTCTTTCAAAAACGAAGCGCTCCCGCTGACATTATCGAACTGGCGGGCGGCGGGTGCGGCGGGGGATGTGAAATCACCGAAATGGCATTGAAGAGTTTGGAATTGACGTGCCTAACAGGAACCGTGTGGTGGGGGAGGAAAAAAGAGCAGGAAAGAGGTATGATGCGTTGGTGCTGGATCCGGGGATTTTGGGATTTTGGGATTTCGGATTTTGGTGGTCGATTCACGTGCAATGCAGTTGTGTCCGGCGAGTTTTAACACCCTGGGATGATGATGGAGTTGTGCGACTATCCTGGCATGATCACGTTACCGGTGGACTAAATTCCTTGTGAATATCAAAAAGTCACTTTTGGAGAGTACCGCTCTGGAGGACCGGAGGTGGGACCACTTTCCACATACGACATCCTACTATGCCTGCTTCTGGATATGGGTATCATTCCCATTATAAAAATTCATGTTTGGTACAAAGATCCTCCATGCGAAAGCGAGTATTTGCCCGACAGCAGGCCAACAAATAAAATACAATGAACCAACAATTGAGTACCATCCGACAAATTACCATCGACGCTGAGTCCGTTCCACGATTACTACTCGCGTTAAGCATGAGTAGGGGTAATGAATTTAATACTCACTAGTAGCGAAACTACCCGGGAAAGGGAGGAAGCTCCCTTGTTGCGGGACGGAATTGGAGCTGGCTGGTCTTGGATGCAAAGCTGGTGCCGGCGCGGTCTGAGCCTGGAGCGCGGGGAACAGTAGCGAAGTAGGAAGCTCACCGGCTGTGCGAACAGTTACCAAATATTTGTTGCTGACCGTGGTCAATATGGGCAGGATTATTACTCACTTGCTATTGTAGTCCAAATGGGGAGCGCACTATTTATTAGTATGGGAAAGATGAAGAGGTATCACGGGATATCCTAACCAGCTGAAGATAACAGAAAGTAAGTATCAACTGGAGCTTGCAGGCGGGGGGGTAGAGGTTGGCCTACAAACTGCCGTGCTCAAATATGTTAATGTTAGCGATCTAAAGGGGACTGGGTCTGGAGGTTCGCGAAATTTACCTCCTGTGCGGGAGTGCAAGTTTGGTATCAGTACCAAATCCCCGGCATTACAACTGATACAAATTAATATGGACCACGTACAATCTGGAGCGACACGGGAGATATATCAGTACAGTGGGAACACTCGACGAGCGACCAAAATGCGTGTCCCCTTACCACCTGCAACAATCGGCAGACCGGATGTCAGCAAGCAGCCCGCCTAACCTACCGGTAGTTAGCGGTCCTATCAACTCACATGCTGCAATATTGGCCGAGCATATGGTCAGAAACAGTGTCATCCTATAACAACGATAGGACTTGTCCACTCACCCGCTAGGGCATTCGTCAAGCCTTTGGTCAGTAGCTCTCTCATCTCGGAACTGTCATCTACTCAAGTATATTCTCACTCACCTCCTGCAATTTAGCGAGAAGGGGGTCAGTAATTGTCTTGCCCCAAACCCCTAGCTGACCCTGATAACTTACTTCCTAAAACGGACATAGGGCCAGCTATCAGCGCTTTCCTCTCGGAACCGGGGCTGAGCCTGCCCACTTACCGGCTGGAAGCCATACATCCCCGTGGTCAGTAATTGTGTCGTCCGGAACCGGGTTTGATCTTATTCACTTACAGACTGCGATATGTAGGGAACCAGAGTTTAGCAATTGCCTCGTCCGGGAACTCTGGTAGATCCTGTTCACTTACAATCTGCCACACGGCGTACCAGACGTCAGTGATTTTCCGGCCCTAGAGCGGTGGTTGATCTCGTGTACTTACACGCTAGAACATTTAGTAAGCAAGCTGTAAACGATTTTATTATCACAGAAAATTTCTTAATACACTTCACTTACCCGCTACAACACTCAAGGAGACCAGCGTCAGAAATTGTCGTTAGGGAACAGTCGTTGCTCACGCACAAACTAGAGAACCGCATGAGGATCCGGGGTCAGCTGTTTCTTCATGGACCTGCCGTTGATGACCCCGTTCACTTACTCCCTGTCATTCAACGGTTAGCCAATTTTTCGTCTCGGAACTGTGGATTATCCTGTTCACTCACTAACTACAACAGTCGGGGTTCCTGGGTGAGTGAATGCCTCATCTAGTGACAGTGGTTGATCCCCTTCACTTACATACTACAACACTCAGCCAGCCAGGTGTCAGAAACCCCTTCATAACGGAATGGTGTTTCATATTAAAAACTGACAAGCTACACTCGGTTCCCTAGAAGTCAGTAGTTATTTCGTCACAGAACTGTCATTGGTCGGGCCTACTTACATACTGCAAGAGCGATTAGCGGGCGAGGTGATTAGTGCATCAGCAATTGCTTTCGTCTGGCCCGTTGGTTATCAGGTTCGCTTACTCCCTACCGCATTCCGCGAGCCAGAGTTCAGTGATTACCCCGCTCCAGAATACTAGTGAATCCTGTTCACTCACAAGCTAGAACACCGAACAAGAGAGAACTCAGTAATTTCCTGGTCATGGAGCTCTGGTTTACACTATTCACTCACTCGCTGTAACACTCAGTGAACGGCAGGTGAGCAATTGACCCGTCCCAGGTTGTGTTTGATCTTGTTCGCATACCGCCTATGGCACTCATCGGTCCGGAAGTCAGCAATTATCCCACACCCGAATAATGTCTGATCGTGATTGCTCACAGTCTGCAACAGTTCGCGTGCCGGCAGTCAGTAGCCACCTGGAACCGGAACCATGCTTGGCCTCGTTCACCTACCCTCTAGAACACTCCGCGGACAAGAGTTTAGGAATTGTCTCGGTCCAGTACTAGAGTTGGCACTTTTCACTTACCTCCTTGAGCACCCATTGAAGTTTGGCGTCAGCGCTCGCCTCGTCCTAGAACCGCTGCTAGGTCAATTCACCCACCCGCTAAAACATTTGGCGAGCTAGAGTTTAGCTGTTGTCTTGCTCCAGCACCATGCTCATGTCACCGGACTGAAGTCATCTTTTTTTTGGTGGGTCACTAAAATAGGAGCGACTTCACTCCGGCGGATTGGGTGGTTGGCACTGTTCACTTACTTCCTATAACACTCATCGAGCTGGATGTCAGCCGCCCCCTCGCCCTAGAACGCTGGTTGACCTTGTTCACTTACATCCTGCATGCCACCGGAGGCAAGAGGTTAGTAATTGACGCATTCCATAACAGTGGATTATCCTCCTACTCACTCCCTACCACAATCATAAAGGCATGTCAGTAATTGTCTCGCCGAGCAGCAGTTGCTTGTCTTTCTGACTTACCAGCTACAAGACTCAGTGGGCTAATGGTCAAAAATTGTCTCGCCCCCGCCTCAGAGTAACCGCTCCACGTACATACTAAAACAGACAACCAGCGAGAGTCAGCAATTTTCCCATTCCGGAGGGATAGGTGGTTTTGTGAACTGACAATCTACAACACCCAGCCGGGCAGATGTCAGCAATGATGTCAACCCTGAAGCATATTTGATCAGGTTTACTTACATACTGCATCGCTCAGCGATTTGGAGGTTAGGGATATATTTGCTATGGAGCAGTGGTTGGCCCTCTTCACTCACTTCCTATAGGGCCTCCCAGAGTCACGGGTCATTAATTGCCTCGATCCAGGGCCTTGGCTAAAACCTTCACTTACTTCCTGTAACGACATCCCACCTAAGATCAGCAACTATCTCGCAGAGCCACTGTTGTTGATCCTGCTTCCTTACTTCCTACAATAACCGGTGCGGGGTCAGGAATTGTCTTGTTCTGGAGGGGGAGTTGGTCCTTCTCACTTCCTACATCCTCCCGCAAGTGAGAGATCAGCGGCCACCGCGCCCCTGAACTGTGCCAAATTCTGCTCACTTACATACTACAATACCCCGAGAGTCTGAGGTTAGTAGTTACCCAGCTAAGCAGCCGTGGTTGATGGGATTGGCACACTTCCTACGAGACTCAGTGACCTTTGAGTCAGCGATTACCATACCCCCGAGCCAAAGTGAATCTTCTTGACCTACTATCTATAACACTCCGCGAGGCCGAGGTTGGCAAGCCCGGCGACTTAGAATCATGGATTCTCTGGTCCGCTTACCTCCTACATCATGCCGCGAGTTAGGGATCGGTAACAGCCTCGCCCCAGAACAGTGAATCATTTGGTTCACTTACTTCCTAAAATACTCATCCGGCCTGAGATCAGCATTTCTGTCGCCCAAGAACTGCGCTTGACCTTCTTCGCTTACTTCCTGCATTACCCGACGTGCTTTAGTCAGCGACTGACAGGTCGGAAATGGGCTTGGT